GCATGTGGAACAGCTCGGCAAGACCCAGTCATCACTGTCGGATCGAACTGAGCTCAGTCCCATTATCTGCAGCCCCGAAATTCGGAAGACCGTACTCAGCTTCCGCAAGTGACCGGGCACGATGGCAGCCACGAGGGAGCTCAGGGAGGATGACACCGCCTCGCACTCCTTCCAGTTGCGACCTGGAACCTGTGTCAACATTCTGCACTCCGACGCTTCCTTGAGGTTTCCCCGAAGCTTCGCCTCGAGCTCCACCGGGCAATCCAAGATTTGCGTCGCGCGAAGACTGCCCAGTTCCCACGATCCCTCTTTCTTCTTTTCCACCTGCACTTGGAGAAGCAGCAAGCAGGTTCCCGGCTCTCGTGTTGCGAGTTGGTCAGCAAAGCCTCGCCAAAAGGCGCACCGGACCCGGGTGCCACCTTGCTGAAGGACGGCGTTGCAGACGTTCTGCCTGCCCTGGTTCTGCACGTCTCTCTCCGTGCTTCCCGGGTTCTCCGCAACTTGCGCAGCCACACAAACTTGTTGTTTGTCCTTGACGCGGGCCAAGGAGTCCAACGACACCAACGGATGGTGCGCAGGGGGCTGGCCCCAAGGCAAGCTCTCTAGCTTCTGCACGAGAACTTGAATCCCGACCGTGCCCTTGATTCGAAGGTGGTAAGGCAAACGGGAGGTCGACCAGGGCTGTGGCGTGGGCAGCACAGAAGCACCTGTGATGGAAATCAAGTCTCCGACCTTGCAGCGCTCGCAAATCCGATCAGACGCATCCGCCCAAGCATCGATGAAGACGACCTCGTTGACCGAGTCCGATCCCGCCAAACGCAGCTCCGTCTTCTGGCTCGTCTGCTGCTGGGCTTCCTTGTTGGCTTTGGTCTTGCCTTTCCCTTTGGAAGGCGCAGCGGCAGGGCTGACGCGTTGCTTGATCGGCACCGTGTTCGTGGTCATGATCACAACTCGCCCGGCAACAGCCGTGCCGTTCAGTCCCTGGTACTCCGAGGGCTTCAGCAAGAGCGTCTCCGTCTTGCCGACTCCGACTTCGACGGGCATGGCTGTTGTCCCAAATACGGGTCGAACAGCGTGTGGCGGCAAAAGCTCGAGATAGTCGGCTGCGGCTGCGATATGGGCTGACTACATGATCTTGTCGTTGCGAACGTACTTAGCTGACACAAATCAAGTCGAAGAGTAACGTGTTTTGCGATCGATGGAAGCATCTGCGCTGGCTTCCCAATACGGGTCACACAGCACGCAGGGTGAACCACACGCACTCTACGGCCTGCACTCAAGGCGGGGATAATTTTCGCTCGAGTATGGTTCAACCCATTCAAAAGTCAGTAGATCCGCCTAGACCCTCATACGATACACTTATTTCTGCTCGTGGGATTTCTGCTCGATTAGGGGTCCTTGTAAAACCCTGGAATCTTGAAAAGCGCACGTGGGTCAAGAAAAGCGCACGAAGAAAACCCCTGGGTATGAGAAAACGCACGAAGCTCTGAAGATCACATACATCCGTGCACTGTGCACAGCTGTCTCAGAGCGATTCTTTTCCCTGGCCCTTCGGAACTGTCGTCTGTAGTTCATGAGGGACCTCTGTATGGTCCGAAGAGCAAGCGTGAACGAATGGCATTTCCTCGTGATCCGCGACACCCGTCCGATAAAATCTTCATCGGCATAACAGCAGTAGCCTGCTGAGATGTTGTAGCAACCGATCAAGCTACCAAGCTCTGTTATGGAAAAACCTTAGTATATAATAACAACCCTTAAGGGTTTATTTAGAGCTTGAAACTCTAGCTACATTGGGAAGCCAAAGATCGTTTCTAGGCCAAGCGACATAGTGGACTCAAAGCCCACTCGGCATTTCTGGACAATTGATGCTCCATGTCCAATCTTGGAGAAAGCAAATCATCATTATCAAACCATCACATAATTGTATCGATCCTGAAGGGACCGAGCCCAGGCCTTAATATCGACTCTCAAGCGGGAGAAAGTCCAAACCCCAAAGTCCGAAACAATTCTGCCCAGCGGCATGATGTGCAACTGCATATTTCGGTCGTATGCGAAACATACACCAGCGATTCCTGGCTGTCATGACGGCGAGCTGCTGGTAACCAGCCTGAATGATTGATTTTCGGAATTCGGAGGTTGAAGCTTGATGGGATTATTGGAATTGCCATTCAATCATGTAGCCTCTGTTTGGGGAAAATCTCTATAAGTTAGCTGGGCTGCCATCATTTTCCACCCGGCTTCACAAGCCGTTCTAGCATCTGCAGCAGGAATCCATATACCATGGGCATACAGAATTCGCCAATGGAGGTTGAGCACACCGAGGGTCCAGACTAGAACTTCATACAGATCTTTGTGTTGGTCCTGATATCGCGAGCACTTAATTAACAGTATTCTAAACTCTACATCCTAAGCCCAAACCCTAGAACCCATATACCTTGAAGAATTCCCATCTCTACTTTATGGCCAGGGTTCGGCGACGGTTTCAAGTTTCCCTGGCTCGCATTCATCCAGTAGCCAAGCCAAAAGCACCGCCGTATCAAAGCCTTTGCCAGCTCCACCAGGATAGTGCTTCAGCCTCGGCGTGATCTATTTGGGATAAGCAGGCTTTTTTGACCCCGAACCATTAACCCTATCCTAAGCCGAGTAGTTAGCAAAGCCTAGGGCCTAGGGCTTATGGGACTTAGGGTGAGAATAAAAATAAGAACAAGGCATGACTAACTTCCATCAGCTGCGATTTCTTCAGCTTGAAGGTTTTCAGGCTGAACTCCGTTAGGCTGGTAGTTCGGCAGAACTTAGTGCACCAAGCCTTGAAGCGAATAAAACCTTCAGCCAACTTTTTCTCGATGCCCCCGCTTCCAAAAAACCCAAGGTGGCACAGCATGATGATCGTTGAAGCTGCCATGTCCTTCCCCCAGCCGCAGATTGCATATGTGTGTGCGGTGTCTGGCCGGAAGCTTTTGTGGTTGAAGTTGGGCAGTCGAAGGAATGGGATTTCTTCGTTTTTGAATGGACTTTCGGCAAGCCCTTCATCATCTGCTGGCCAGTTTCTAACGGTGCTGCTTTCCCCCAGCTCCCACCAATCCTTAGCGATAGAGGGCCAAGCGGTTTGTGACATAGTCAATTACGAACTAGTTCGAAATTAATTAATTTAATATGCTTCAATTGCATTACATGAAATGGTAATATGAACAAGCCTAGTGTCTTCACCCGGGCAAAGATGGCATTTTCGTGCGGCATTGAAGCCTGGTGCTAGGTGACCAGCCTTCCGTAGATAAGGCCAATCACCCTTGACACAGATCGGAAAGACCCGGAATCTGTAGGTCTTCCCCTCCCACAGCACCTCGAGTCAAGAACAAACTCGCATGAAGCATTCGTCTTTACTCCTTAAGAATACGGCCCACACCCATTTTCACGAAAAAAGGTGCTGAAACCCTAAACCCCAATATGCTTGCATGCTGTGCGAGCACTGACAAGCCATTCTCATAGAGACTCGTGAAGTCTTCAACCAATGCAGCGTGCAAAGTGTCGAGGGTTTTCTGGCCCACGTACATTTCGGCGGGGACCACACTGAACAGCAGGCGTGTACTGAAAGTATGCCTGCACATGCATTTCGGTTTGAGCAAAAAACGAAGGCCACGATCCCCGAAATCGCCACTATGATTATGCGTAAAACAAAAACTTGTTGAGCTGGGTGCCCCGAAGAGTTGAGCACTGTTGGTCCTCGGCAGCCAATAAGTGGCTGGAAGCTAATTACCATCACTGCTCTGCGATTCTTGCCCCGACCTTCATCGCCATGGCATTGGATTGGAATTGTATATTCAGTGTCGATATCTGTTCGGGAATACAAATCCAAGTCCGGCCGGCTGTATCTGTAGCCTCGCCAGAATTCTCGAAACATAGGTCGCCATTGATCTTCCTCGGACAGGCTAAAACCACCGAGCACCATATGGCCCCCATCATTGAAACACTGTCGCACCCAGGAAGACAACAAAAGCACGGGATATCCAACAGTTATAACCTTCGGCTTCCCAGACAGCTTTCTCACAGGAGTTTGCACTGAGCTGATCTCCACAGGAAGTGTTCTGCCTTGGCCATGGATAAGTATATGAAGATTCCTGCACTCGTTCTTCTTGCTGCGAGCACAACTTGCCATTCTAGTCAAAGCCGGATCAACAATGCCTCGGATCAGCACCCATGATGAAGAAACTATATTACTCGAAGATCAAGTTAACTAAACCTTTGGGGAACGAACCTGAACTGCGAGGGGAGCTGGATGCTGTAGCAACATGATCGATTGAATCTTGATTTTAAACCATACTGAAGAAGATAAGTGACCATGCTTTCGAAATGCATTGTTCGCTACTTGGGCCAAGCGGGCTACCCGCTTAGCAGAGTCTGCCTCAGCTTGGTAGTGAAGAATAAACACACGGCCCACCAGATTAGAACCCGGCCTTACAACCCAACAGTATATAGATGAGATACTATATATTAGTCTGGGGTCTCCCTGTTCGAAGCCTGTGAACAACTCCTCTGCGAGGTTGTCGAAGTCGGAGTCATCGGCACCATCTTCACCTGGGAAGGATTGTTTGGGATTGAGGTATATGTGTTAAAAAAATATGATGCTTTCGACAACCATTTGCGTGTTCGGCATTGAGATTCGGGCTTGAATTTTCTCCATTGGCTGCATCCAAAACACCTGCGTGGGGACTCTTTGCTTAGTGAAGGATGGTACGGTCTGGGCAATGCTAGCTTTGTTATGGTTGCAAGTCTTTTGCCCTTGGTGTCGAACTCATCTCGGTCCCCAAAGCACATAATTAGCACTGAGCAGGGATGCATCTTGCATCTTGTATCGGCTCGCACAACAACGATTCACATGCTGTCCCGATCTGCATTTTTGCACACTCGAGCTAGCTATTAGGCTTACAGTAGAGCAAGCATGTACTCGTTGCACGGCAAAAGCGAAACTTCAGCAGCTGCTCCTTCGGAGCTGCTGGCGACTCCTAGTCAGCCTTTTTCTTGGACTTGGGGGCTTTGGGCTCCTTCTTATCCTTCTTATCCTTCTTCTCCTTCTTCTCCTTCTTGGCGCTTGGCCTGCCGCCTTTGCAGGATCCACCTCCAGAGCTGCCGGCCTTGCTGCTCTTGATGGACCTGGCCGACTGTGGATGGCAGCAGCTTGGGGCTTGCGGTATTTATGATAATATTCTACTCGACTTTGGATTTGCGATTGATGTGGGGCCTTGTCTGAATAATTGAGGTTTGGATTTCATGGATTGTTCACTATCAAATGAATGCTGGCGTATTATCAAAATGTCTACATGCATACAACCCTATAATATAAAGCCTAAAAGCCTCAAACTAAACCCGAGCCTGCAGCCCTATATACTGGGGCGGCGAAGACCCCAAATCATGCGATCAACTATGCATGCCTAAGTGTGGGGCTAGTCAAGAGTAATTTGCTAGCACAACTTCGAACTCCGATCCTCAGCCCTGTCACAGCTAGTGATCAAGACATATAGATATCAGAATCCAAACCCACCCAAAACCGAACTCTCAGATTGCATTGTTAACACATAATAGGTCCTAGTTGGGGTTTGGGGGTTAGGGTGAAAGTTAAGCTAGGCCGGGTTATATAGTATTCAGGCTTGGGTTTAGGGATTTGGGTTTAGGGATTTGGGGTTAGGGTTCAGGGTTTGAGGATTTGGGTTTAGGGATTTGGGCTTAGGGTTCAGGGTTTAAGGTTGTTCGGGGGCTCCCAAGAGGTTCTTCTAGCTTTAACTGGGGGGCTAAATTAAGCAAACCTGTGATTTGTGTCTTAAGACTTCTTGTCAAGCTTTGTTGGGTTCAGGTTTTGTGATGCACTTATAGTTTAAATCGAGGCACTTTGCACGGATAATGTAGTTCGCAAGCAGGACATCCTGCTTGGTGATAGCAGAGTACGTCTTCAGGAGGTCGTTGTTGAACTGCCTTTATCAATGGATGCATGTTCACACCGGGGTAGAGCCCACTACAAGCGTGCACATGCGGGGACGGGTGACCACATCTAATCCGAAAAAGCGGCTCGTCCGGATTCGAGGTGATGGCCTGGGCCTGCATGTTGGTCAAGTATGTGTAGTTTTTCTTCATTTCATCCAGGATGAGCTGCAGCTGATCCCGAAGCCTTGGATCTTAAATGGGTGTTCGTATGCGGGGCGAGAAGCAAGCGTGCAAGCAAAATCCCGGCCCACCCCCAATCACACACAAAATGCGACCTAGTGTCGCCTTGGCTCTGCTGTTGCTCGGATCCAACTTGTCCTGCACACAGCAGGCAATCAAGACACACGAGATCGTGGAACGAATGACAAATCCCAAAGGATCGCAATATGAAATGCACCACGGGGTCCAGCGAGTCTTCGCACTGGTCGATTTTCCGTCCGAGTACCTCCACAAAGCTGCCGAGGATAGCCACGGCCGTCGAATCCACGGGCACAGTGGGGAACACCAGCCTTGGGGTGTAGAATGTAGAATTAATAGCAGGATGTAAATCGGATTCGAATTGACAACACTGCACACTGCACGTATAGTTCTGCCCCACCCGAAATCCGCCCGAAACCCTAAACCCTTAAATCCTTTATAGTTGTAATCAAGGGTCTTGAAGGAGGCGTTTTGGCCAGCGAGGGCTGTGGTCGTAGCCGAGGTTGCGGTTGCCGAGGAGCCGTGGGCGAGGATGGTCTCGTCGGAGGCAGCAAAGCCTGGGACGTCCGACTCCATCAAGTAGCCGTCCTCATCCTGTGTTAGCACTATACAGTAGAAGCCAGAAAGTTGGAATATGGAATAATGGTAGGATCCCCTATAATTTACCTTAAAGGGGTTACGATAATGATATTCCAACTTTCTGGCTTCTACTGTATATTGCTCAGAAGCTTAAGTAAGTGCATGTAGCTGCAATATACGAACCTGGGCCAAAAAGTTCTTAGGCTATTGTTTAATGTTTGATTCGCCATTAGATAAGCTCCTCTGCTTCGAAGCTCCCTGCCAGCTCTGTAGAAGTTCCATGCTGGTCCACTATCTCGAAGGATTCCGAAAGGATCAGTCTGGCCTCTTCCTCCCCATGAATCGGATTCACCCGGACAAGCCCCTTGCTCTTCGCCCAAGCAAAGGCATTGTCGACCATTTTCCTTATCCAGCAGTGCTAGTTTTATAAGCATCACTAGTCAGAAAACCCTGGAGAGGCGAGATACTTTGTCCACTGTGCCACGGTGAGAAGGTATTGACGGGTATACCAGCCACCACTCTTGTTCTTCCCCAACAGCGTCTTGTGGAATTTTTTGACAAAGATTTCGAGGCTTGAGAACGACCCGTGCTTCTTGAGCAAGTCCCGAAGTTTCTCCCCTTAGGTTTGGTAGCAAATGTTGATTTGGCCGAGCCCAGCTAGCTATAGAGTCTATATAGAGCAGATTAAGACAAGTTGCTGCCGCCCTCGGACTGGTAAAGCTCTAGGGCTTCTTTGGAACACTTGAGTGCCCCGCAGGCCTTGGGCTGGAAGTATCTTCTCAACCTGAGCAATTATAACTGGCGATCACAGTATATGTACCCCGAGGACTCGGACTATGCTAGTCACCAAGTTGAGTCCAGAAACCGCCAATACGTGGGGCTTTGGCTTCGTTTCTCCTTCTTGTTCGGCGGGGTGTTGGGCTCACTCGCCGACGAGCCCGAGGGTGCCTCAAGCAAGGGTTAGTGGCCTATATGGCTTAGAAATATTTTGGTATTAAGGGCTTAGGGTCTTTAAGGCGTTCTATGTCCAAGGGGCCAACGAGCCGGGGCTACCAAAGCCCCCTTCCACATCTTGGCGGGATCGCTTGCGACCCACACTCAACATTTGCCCGGCATCTGCAGGCAACACACTCTGTGCTGGCGGCGGCGGGTTTGCTGCTGCATGAGGCACGACCAAGGATCGCTGTCTTTTGAGAAAGGCTGGGCTTTGGCTTGGGGTGATCGGAGGTTGGCGGGGAGTGGCCGTGCTGCCACCATTCAGGCTCTCGAAGCTTGCAAGACGAAGGGTCTGCGAGGGTGTGCCCCAAGGGTTTTGGGCATCTTGACTGCTTGCACGGGTCGGTGCCGATGTCACATCTCCGCCAGCCGGAGCCACAGCACCTCCATCCATGCTATTGCCCCAAAACCCGAACAATCGGAGGTCTATATAGTATCACGGTTGCTTGGGGAAGTCAGCTACCAGTAGAAAATACATTATGTGCATGTGGGTGTGCATACTACTACATGACACCTAGCATGATACCTTCCGAGAATATGTATATATATATATACACATAATCACATAATCGGAAGGTATCATGCTAGGTGTCATGTAGTAGTATGCGTGGGTGTGTATGTATATATATATATATATACTACATACACACCCACGATACCTATATGCATACATGCACTATACATGTAGTAAACTAATGTACACGTAAATGTGTATATACATATATATATATATATATATATATAATATGTACATATGTATAATATATATATATAGATAGATATAGATATAGATATAGATATAGATATAGATATAGATATAGATATAGATATAGATATAGATATAGATATAGATATAGATATAGATATAGATATAGATATTCATCTATTTGTTGAAATACATGCATATACCTTCATATATACATACATATACATATACATATACATGGGGGCACCACCCCCCCCCCCCCCCCCCCCCC